TGCTTCTTGAAGATGCCCAGAGGAAGGCTAATAAAGTAAAACATGTCACTAACAATAGAATTAGCTGAATAGAGAAAAAGAGGCACCAAAGTTAAATTATAGTTACATTGTGACTTTTCATTCCACTTCAGCTCCCCAACCTCCACGGTTGGTTCACAGTCTCCTCATACCCACCATAATGGTTCAAGGTCTGCTTAGGAATAACAAGCTTTTGTGGGGGTGAGGGTCTATCATTTTCAATTTGTGGAGGAAGCTGGATTTCTTCTTGCAGGGCCCTTCAAACTCCATGGGTCTTTGGCAACACCACCCGTTTTGCTGAACAGTGGCTCTACGAACAAAACGTTTGAGCAATTTGGCCCTAGGATGTATTTTAAGAACACTCCTGCCTGGCAAGAACATGTAATAGCTACCATTTAACAAATCACCAGACGAAAATGAATACTGGGTAACTGCCAGCTGTAATTTCTGGACCATAAAACTTTAAATAATTAATATGAAAAGAAAAGAAAGTGAATACTACTTATTTTGAATCCGCCAAGTTAGTAGTTCACATATTAGAACCCAGGACATTTCAGAAGCAACACAAGGTGAAGAAAAGCTTGCTACAGCACCAACCATCAAATATGCCTCTAATACATACATGATTATGCATATGGGGAAACTTGAGATGATGGATATAACAGCTGTCTACACTAGCTAAAATAATTTGGTTGATTAGTAAACTCAGATCCACACTTTTATTTTGATATTTCAAAATAAAAACAAGTTACTCAGGAAAAAAAAATCATTAAGTCATTTTGAAATCTGCTTTTGAGTTGATGTATCTTGTAACTAAAAGGATTTGGAGCAACTTGATAGGAAAATTTGATTTTTTTTTTTTAGTTATGTTAAATTACTGAAATGTCCATTTTCTCACATAGCACCAGATGTTCTTAAATCGACATGACAGTCATATGTGTTTACCATGTACATTCATCTTAGTACATGAATGCAATGGGAAATATGGTATTGATTATCTCTGGAAATATCTGTCATTCATGTTGAAAACATTCAAAACTCTTGTTTCTAAAACCCACATAGAACATCACCAGTGCCAGTAATTACACGATTGTGGACATGACACCAGGATGATTTGCCCCTGTCTAACTATAACTTGTTACCTATTAATCAATCTCCAACCATCCTCTCCTCTCTAATCTTTCTAGCCTCTGGCAACCACTGGTCTCTCAGCTTCTCTGAAACCCTTGTTTTCTGTTTCCATGTGAGATCACGTGGTACTTTTCTTTCTTCGCCTGGCCCATTTCACTTGAACACAATGACCTTCAGTGCTGTGCAAGTCACAAACATCAGGACTTAACCCTTTTCAAAGGCTGACTGTTGAACACTAGGTAGCTTGAGATATTTTGTTCAAATATATGTTTGACCACACTGACCTCAAACTCAAGAGATCCACCTGCCTCTGTCTCTGAGTGCTGGGATTAATGGAATTTGCCACCACTGCCCAGCTGGGATTCTTTTCTAATGAGTGTTTCAAACTTGTTAGCAGTAAGTGATTGCTTTGGACAAATCAACAATTGCTTAATTATCTGTGTTCTAGTAGAATTCATTACACTGCTGTGTGAAAGTGTAGGATAATCTGTCTAGGCTTATCACTATCCTGGGCAGAACATTATTGTTAAGGGTATTGAGCTTTATCAGATTCCAGCTTTGTGTTCTATTATTCATGATTCTGTTGGGAAGCAGATATGAGGATGTATCTGTCTGTGTGTGTGTGTGTGTGTGTGTGTGTGTGTGTGTGTGTGTGTGTGTGTGTACATATGTCTGTTTATGGAGGCTGAGATCCTACTATGTATGAACTGACATAGGAAAATGGGGTATAATTGTAGTCCAAGTTCAAGGGTCTAAGCACAGAAGAGCTGATGTTTGAGAGCCAGATAAAATGGAGTTTGTTTTTTGTTTTATTGTTTGTACCACGAAAAGATTGGATTATGTCCATCACATTGGGAAGAGTAATATTTTATTCAGTTGATATCAAGGCTAACCTTTTCCAGAAGGACTCTTATAGACCTACTCAGAAATTATATGTTACCAGATATCTGGGGAAGCCTTAAGTTGGCATCAAATATTAACTGTCATTACTGCTAATTCAAATGAACAGATTATGCTTAGAAACAAAACCATGGTATCTGTATTTAAAGGTCGCTGCTAAAGTTTTCACGCACAGTTTGGCTAAAGGAGTATTATGGATTTTAAAACCCTAATCATTCCCACAACCCGTAGTTAAGTGGCACATAAAGGAAGGCCCTCCAATAGAAAGTGAATTCTTGAGCAGGCATTCAATCTCTGTGTTTTCCATTTCATCACTCTGGTGTGTTCAGAACCATCTCTTGTCATCCAGGGGTAAGGGGGTGGGAGGGGAAAGATGGGAGGGGGAAAGAGGGAGATGGAGAAGAAGGGGAGAGGTAGAGAGAGCGAGCATGCTGGGGCTGTACTGCCAGGCTCAGGAATTGCTGCTGCTCTGCCTGTCTCGGGAGCCTGGTCTTCTGTTTCAAGACTGTCTGTTCCTCTTACAGACATGCTCTGGGGCTAGCCTGCTCCACTGCCACCTTTCTCTGCCTTCCTCTACCCTTGGGAGTTCTGAGATCCTCACTTCCTTTTCCTTACCAGCTTGCCACTTGTCGCTGCTCAGGTACCTAGTTCTTACCTGTACTTGTGTGCCCAGGTTATCTGCCTTAATTTCCCTGTCTGAAAAGTTCAAGTCTTGGCAAAATCACATCAAAGGAAATACAATAACTTCATTTGATATTTTTTCCCTAATCAAAACAATTCTGCTTTGCTGCCATTCCTCATCTGCTTAAAAAATCTGCTTAAATTCCCTTTCCCTGACTGTTAAGATTTGTTTTCAAGAAAACAAGACTATTTTTTAATATTTATATATATATATATAATATTATATAATGCATACAGTGTTCTGTCTGTATCCCTGCAGGCCAGAAGAGGGCACCAGATTTCATTACAGATGGTTGTGAACCATCATCTGGTTGCTGGGAATTGAACTCAGGACCTCTGGAAGAACAGTCAGTGCTCTTATTCTCTGAGCCATCTCTCTTGCGCCCCCCCACCCCCAAAAGTTAACCAGGGTGAATTGGCACTGTAGGGGTACATATGAAGGGAGCAGGCAAAAGCACCTTGGCCTGCGTACTGCCATTTTGATTTCAGACTCACTTCATTTTACCTATAGGGTGAAATAAAGTTCAACTTTTTAATAGCTGACCTGAGAGGCCAGGGTAGCACCATTATGGGCTTCTCCCAGGCCCAGCCTCAGTTTCAGTTTCTGTTTAGGTCTCAATTTCTATTTCAGGTTCAGTTTCTGATAAGGGAGGTAAGGGAGATATTGCATACCGGGCATGATTCAGCACTTCTAGCCTCAGCCAATCAGAAACATATTAGTGTGGCTGCTGCTTGCTTGGCCAATCATGTTTAGGATGACCTAATCCCCTCCTGGTTGTCTATAAAAGGAGCTTGTGTGCCTCTCTGGGGATTGTCACCATTTTGTTGTGTGGCTGACCCCTGCATGCAGGAATTCTTCTCTCAAGAAATAAATGCTCTTGCTTTTGCATAAAAGGAAAAAAAAAAGAAAGAAAACAAGAATTGCAAGTGGCGGGTAGAATGCTCACTGTATTACCATAGGACCAAATTATTTCCCACATTCTATGGATAATGCTTCTTTGATGTCTATGAGCAGAGCGTGGTTCATAGTACTAATTTATTTTATTAACTTGGAGCTGAAAGGAGGTGGCAATTTAAATAAGGACATCAAACGCAGTAGACCATACCAGAATAGTTCCATATAGCTGCCTTTTACCTGAAAGTTAAAGAGCACTTACTCATTATAAATAATAAAGCACAAGAGATGTTAGACCAGAGTCTGTCTCCATCACATCCACAGAATATGTGCAAGAGAAGAAAGACATATTTTTTTTTTTTAGTGCAAGCAGCAAGTTTATTTTCTGTGATAAGGAATTAACAAAGGAATGACGACAAATGAGGTACAATCTAAACATTTGCATATGGAAACTTTCCTTGAAACACTCAGATTATTGTTACAATTATTGATTGTCAACTTAAAGAAATTGAAATCCTGAGATTGTTCAAAATAAAAATTTCTTTCTTGGGAAATTTCAGAATGGTAATTTTATTCCAGAGCCATAATTAGCGAGGGTAAAAGTATTCTCTTGGCTAAGACCAAGAGCTTGGGGCAGTACTGTGATACTGCGTACATTCCAACTTTATATTTCTACTTTGCAAAAGGTACGTGCATTTTGCAAAGAAAGTGCATATATTCCTACTGTACCCTTTTTGGAAATGTGTGGAGTTATTATGAATCAACACTGATGATAATGAGTGTACTGGTCACTACACTTGATAACACAGTTATATGTTTTTGATGCTGTACTGAAAACATTTGGGCTATACAGATAGCAAATATGGAATACATATGGACAGATACCAAGTCTTCACCTTAATGATCTTTCATTAATGTTGAAGTGGCAAATATTAAGACTTAGAAGGACGTCATTGTCTTAAAGACACACTGTTGAACACATGACTGCCTCCTTGCTCTCTAAAGCAACTTATATAATTTAACCAGCAAATACAGAATAGATAAGTATCAGGACACAAAAAAAGCATTAAAGCCCATTACAATCTTGAATAAGCCAAAACTTCAAGTACATAGAAAAGCATTGCAATCATGTATTTAGCTTTATTCCTCTAATATATATCATAATTTAAAACTATATAAAGTCACATAAAAGCAACTTTTCAAGTGTTACAGCTGAAAGCATGGCTTTGTGCTTGGCTTAATCATTTTTTTAACCAGTTTAATTTATAAAGCTCGTAATCTTGCCAGCAGGGCTTCAACTTCAGGGACGGATTCGCTTTTAGAAACAGAGCCAAGAAGTTCCATTTCCTTTTTTCTGTTGCTTTCTGTATTACAGGCTTCCTTCTCAACTGCCTTGATCCTCCCTGTAGACTCATGAGTGTCTAGATTATAATTAAGCTCCTTGGCGACTGGAGTCCTGGTGGAGTTGCCATTGATACTGTGGTGTGGACGTGACCCTTCTGTCAACTGTACTTTCTGGTTTTCTACAGTAAGAAAAAAAGAAACATGAAACTTGTCAGTGTGGAAACCAAGGTCCAGGTATGTTATAAAACATAGATTTAATAATTCTCAATAAATAAATCCTCTTGGAGAGACTCAAAGTAGTCAGAAGAAAGACAGACATAAAGTTAACATGTATAGGTTAAGAATCAATTAAATTATAGAAGACAATTGCTTATTTTCTTCTTTTATGCTGAAATACCTGTGGGCAGGACATTATCAGAGTTTTGTCTTATGCTTCATTCAGGATTTGGGTCAAACACAAATGAAATGGAGAAGCCTTCTCTAACCATTTCAGATGGGCCTTATCTTGATCCTCCCCACCCCAGTGTTCCTTCCCCCCATCTTTTCCCTCCTAGCATCATGGCAAGCACATGTACCATATGTCTGTTTACTTGTCCACTGGGTGTCTTTTCACTAGAACGTATGGTCCACAGAGAAGGAACTTTACTTTAAACTGTGTAGTTTCAGTATCTATAATAGCCCTGGGTAAACTAAGTGTTCAATAAACACACCGGGTAAATAAACAGTCCGCACAGATTATGACCCAACGGAAGAGGAACAATTACACTAAGATTTTCCTTTTGAACAAAAGTAAGGAAGATTATCCTACGAAGTTGAAAAGTTAAAAAACATCCCTTAAAAGAAATAATAAAGTTGTCAGGCAAATTGTATTTTCTAGCAAACCACAATTACATAATTTTGTCATAACAAAATTGAGTGGAATATCTACATCTACTTATATATACATGCACCCATACACACATACATACTGGCAAGTGGTTACGATCTTGACTCCATAATAGGAAGTGATTAAATGGTGCTGGCTGATTAATTTTCTCAAAGAGACCTAAAATTTCATCTAATTAACTGACTCTCACACTGTACAACCTTATGAGTGACTCTCTCATACTTTTAAAAAGCAGATAGCCTCAATATTCATGTAACCTTGAACAGGGTTTGAAAATGGCTCCAACAAACTTGACATGACATTTAAAGTTTTTTGGTTATTCGCTGAGAGATGTTCCATTATCCCAATAGTAATGACTTTGGAGCACAAGCAGTCACTCATGACAGTGTGTTTTATGTGAGCGCTGAAAATTCCAACCGAAAACAGCTTGTACATTAAAAAGGTGGCTGCTGAAGATATTTACTGCACTGTCATTTCCTGACCAGGGGCTTCCAGTGATGGATGAGGATTTTACACAGTTTCTTGGACAATCTCTACAAATTTTAGAAGTATGATCAGCTTTTAGCTGTTGGAAGAAAATAAATACACTTTTCTTATCACTTTCTCTATCAGGTAGGCAATTGTTACTCAAAAATCAAAATCTAGCAGAGCAGTGATTTTTTTTTTTCCCTGAGAGGAGTTTATGTGCCGCAGCTCATAGTGCACACTCTGTGCCTGCAGCAAAGAAGACACAGGCCTGGTGGTTCTGCAGTTCCCATGGCCACATAAATTAATTTTATCTTGAATCCACCATCTTCCCCCAAAACGTATGTGGAAAGTACATTTGTAGCTAAGTGCTGATTTTTCAGTCAGTGTACTGCCCATTCCCAAATCTTTCTATCATCCCTGGTCATTTGATGTCTTCTTGTATACTACTCCATAATGAGACTTCCAACAAACAAGGTTAAGTTTTTACTGGGCAATGCTAGTTAAAAATCTTAGATTACTGAGATTACACTGGCAAGAATATAGATCTGGAATATAAGAAAATAATACATAAAGTTTCACAGCTTCTACAGCTATATTCAATCAAGGCCATTTCTGTATGTGGAAAAGTAAAAATAAAAAATAACGTGGGATTTTAGGTAGACATGGTATGAAATCTGATCATTAGATGGATAGTTCAATAACCTTGAGTCTTAAATTCCAATAATAAATCTCAAAAAGTAGATGTGAGGATAAAAGGACACAATCTGGGTGGCTACTATATGGTGATACTTACTGTCTAGTAAGAGTTACTCTTGCTGTGATGAAACACCATGACCAAAGCAACTTGGGGAGGAAAGGCTTTATTTGGCTTACACTTCCACATCACTGTTCAGCACTGAAGGAAGCTAGGACAGGAACTCACAGTGGACAGGAAACTGGAGGCAGGAGCTGATACCAATGCTGTGGTGTGGCACTGCTTACTGGCTTGCTCCTCATGGCTTGCTTAGCCTGCTTTCTTATAGAACTCAGGACCACCAGCAGAAGGGACGGCATTATCCACTATGGGCTAGGCCCTCCTCCATCATTAATCAAGAAGATGCCCGCCAGCTAGATCTTATGGAGACATTTTCTCAATTGAGGTTCCCTCTTTTCAGATGACTCTAGCCTGTGTCAAGTTGACATAAAACTAGCTAGCATGCTTATCGGTTCCCCTTTTTTCAAAACCTACAGGAGGAGCAGTTCCTCTGTCACAAGGATTTAGGGTTTAAGTGGAGGCTCTGACCTGACTTTCCAGGGCTTAGCAGAGAGGGCTGAAATACTATCTTACGAACATCCTGGATTTATTAAGCAGCACATTAACTTACAAAAAAAAAATTGTTGCACCTTAAATATCACCACCATGTTACAGACTGAGGAGGAAAAGCAAAAAGAAGTTTGGTCATGAGCTTAGATTAGTTATTAAGTAAGTCAGTGGCAGAAGCCAGACACTGTATTAGGAGACACTGGAGCTGTCTTAGACAAAGCTGAACACCTTTTTGCCACAGAAAAATGCTAAGTAATTCAAAGCTGAGTTTCCCAATAATGGTGCCCTGAATCCTCACAAGAGCTTCGTAAAGCAGAGATACAGACAGAAACTGCCTTCTCAGAGTATGGTTAAAGTCACGACGTCATCCCTTTCTGTACTGGTTTCAATTAAATTAATGACTATGAATTTTAAACATGACCTCAATCCATTGCAGTATCTGAATTCATTTATCCTTCCATTTTCCTAGACAACCATTTCACACCCTTTCTTCTCTTTTCAAACCTCCAGCATGTCTGTCCACTATCAATTGGGACCTTCATACAAATAAAACATAACAAAACTTTCACTGGAAGCTCCCTTAACATCGAGTATCTACCTATACCTTCCTTCCTGTTAGGATGGATCAACATCCTGCCCTGCTGAGAACAGCCTGGAAGGCCTCACTCCTGCTGTGGTATTGACAGCCATCCCTTTGGCAGCTACACTTGCCCTATTGAACTGTCAAGGTTTAGTCCTCCCTGGGATCATTCCTGTTCCAGCTAGTTTTATGTCAACTTGACACAAGCGAGTCATTAGAAAGGAGGGAAAGGATCGTATGCTTCCATAAGATCCAGCTGTAGAGCATTTTTTTTTTTTTTTAAATTAATGACGCCTCAGCCCATTGTGTGTGGTGCCATCCCTGGGCTGGTGATCCTGGGTTCTAAAAGAGAACAGACTGAGCAAGCCAGTAAGCAGCACTCCTGCATAGCCTCTGCATTAGCTTCTGCCTCCAGGTTCCTGCCCAGTTTGAGTTCCTGCCTTGTCTTCCTTCGGTGACAGACTACAGTGCGGAAGTGTGAGCCAAATAAACCCTTTCCTCCCCAACTTGTTATTTGGTCCATGGTGTTTCACTGCAGCAACAGAAACACTAACTAAGACAATTCCCCTCAGTATGCAAGTTTGTTGTGCTAACTCAAAACTGGAGAAAGAAATTTCCATTTGTTTTCACTTCTGCCCCAGCTACACTCACAGTGCTTGGTTCCTTTCAGGAAAAAAAAAATCCTTTGAAGGAACCAGGTTCTTGTCTCTATTCTTCCCATCCACTTTCCTCTTGAGCTCACACTCATGCTTTTGACATTTTACTCTTCTCAAACAGTTTCTGTGAAAGTCACCAGTGGACTGTGTGTTGAGAAAAAAGGAGGACAACAGCTTTTTAGGATCTCTGCCTACCAGACTGCAGTTGAAGTGTCCAGCATAGCCCTGGGGTGTTTCTTTTAGTGCTTTGGTGTTTGAACTTCTCTGGAGGCTTATGTCAATAACAACTGGGCCAATGCAAGGAAGAACATTTAGATCCTTTTAAGAAACTCAAAATGGCCATGGGTTTGCCATTTGGGATAAGATGATAAGAGAATAGCATGGTACTTGACGCCTCTGTGGTTTCAGAAATAAACACTTTAATAGGAAGCAATGGGTAAGATGGTATGAAAAAGGAAGATGCCTGTTTACAGACTACTGGAAAATACAAAAGTGCACAAAGCACCTGAAGAGGAAGAGATTGTAGTCCTGTTAGCCGTTCCTCGATAACTTTTCACTCTCAGAACCCATATTCTCGTCTCTGCACCCTAACAGCCCCCATCCTGGTTCTTACTTTTCCATTTGCATTACATTTTTAAATAGTTGACTTTCAAACAACACAGGGGAGGCAGTACTGTAAGTTAGAACACATAGATTTGCAGAGGCATAAGTAAAGCATAACTTGATGTGGGAGGCCTCCGTCCTTCACATGTGCAGTTAGATGGCTATAAATACAATAAGGCATACTTGGACATACAGACTCAATTAAAGGTGAGGCTGGTGCTGCAATAAAAATAGAAGCATTCTATTTATCCTCCATAGAAATCTTTGCCAACACACATTTTATACTGGATACTGAATGTACTAAGGCAAAAGAAGATTACTGCTTCATTTTCTAAACGGAGTACTTTTGTACAATTTTATGAATCAAATCCTGGGCTTTCCTTTTTTTTCTTTAAAACATTACAATTGATGTCTGTGTATGATATGTCCAGGACCCCTGCCAATACTCAGGGCCACTGGTAATGGCAGCACAGATAGGGAAAGAGCCAGCTACTATTCTTAGTACCAAACTCCTAAGGGATCCAATCCAAATATCATATATTTGTGTAACCCTGGAAATAAGCAGGGTAAGAATGCATCGTATTTTGCTTTAAAATAGGAAGACTCACTAATTTCAATTTAACTCTCCATATGATTCTTACTATAAGTGAATCAGGGAGCCCACCATAGCTTTACTTTTCCCTGTGAATTCAAAGTTGGACTGTTGGAAAGCTGAATCAACCTTAAATGCAGAGAGCC